ATATTGCTGAAGTCGTTCTTTGATAATGATTTACTTCGAGGATATGGTTTTTACAGGAAAAATGACTTGATAGGGGGGCGTTCAGCAAACCCGAAATACAATGTAACGACATGATTGACAAAACTTTCTTTTCTCGAACTGAATTTCATATTGATCCTATTTAATTATACCCTTAGCAGCCATTGGCTACAGCAATAGGCGCTCTTACTATGCCGAACTGAGTTGTCTAAAAATAAACCGATGCATGCGCTCTACCTTCCTTTTTGTCTTTCCCTCCTGTAGGTTCCCAACTCGGAGAGTGAGCCAGCCGGTAAGCCAAACCGGCGTTTCTCTCAGAAACTCGACTCCATGCGCGACCTCTTCCACTTTAAAGGCGGCCAAGTGACTGTCGCTCGCAAAGTCAAAAACCCACCTTGCCGCCGCACCTCTGATGCCTCCACTAGCACCCTCCGTCCAGACGATCAGGGCATGCAGGACACAGAGGCACGTCGTTATTGTGCTGCTCAGCTGCTGGCCGCAATGTCGGACAGCTTCCTGGCTTACACCGATCCCGCTAATGGCCCGGTAGCGGTGTCCTCTCTGCATGCCGTCTTCACCGAGAACGTGGCTCGTCTGATTGCGGTGGCAGACCACGTGTCTTTGCGGCGGGCTCTTGCCAATTGGTTCCTGCATATTGTCAGCCCTCTTGTTGATTCCCCCGCCGTTTCTATCACAAGTGCTTCGTCCTAGCACTTTTATCACTATAGTCTGTTCTGTCACTTGTCGTCTAGGTCTTTCATGTGCTGTTGCACATTGCATACGTTCCATACTGTTCGCCTTTCTTCTTCATCTTCTGTATGTTCAGTATGTTTTGCTGTCTTTTGAAAGCCAGTCTAATTAACTTTACGATCACGCTCTCACTTTAGCCTTATTGCTTTTGGCTTTGTACCTCTGACTTTTCTCCTTGTGGTCTGCTTTTTGTCTTTTAACTCTACACACTGTATATCCTTGACATGACCCTCAGCCAATAATGTGTTTTGTGAAAAACTGGCTTATGGCTTTTAGCTCGGACTTACTTTTAATATATTCTGTCTGGGGTTTGAGGAATCACACTTTCCATGATACTGTTGATTCTGTGCGGCGACCATAAAGGGTTAAAGCGGTGCACTTGCATTCCTTGCCTGCTCTGCGACCTTGTCATTGGTCAAGTTTTTTCTTTGTTGTTACGACTGAATGACCGAAAACTGCTTATAAAGTTCAGTCTAGGCGGTATGCATAAAAATTGAGGACAGAGCTACCCCTACCACTGACCAGTCTTAGAACGTGTCAAATAGAGGTGAATGTCAGAGTCTAAGTGGTAACACTCCCGCAACGTTTTGAGTCAGTGGTTATTAATTGTACCCTAGAAAATGATGTCCGATGGAAGTCTGTGTCAGACTCTTCTCACCAGGTTGGAACTGGGTACTGGTGGCTGTTACCAGAGCGTTGATAGCACGGTCAGTAATTCTATTACACAGCACCCCCGCAATAGATACTAATGTTCGCTCTAGGTATGTCCTATTACACTTCTCGTGTTAGTCGACATACTTGAGTTGAATGTGCCATGTGCTACATAGTTTTTTCGACTTGTGCTCTTTTTATTGTAACGAGTATAATGGCGGGGCTGAAAAAGCTGCCTAGCCAAAATAAACAGCCTGTGGTTAGTGGTATACGAGAATCGTCGAAATAGGGGGGAATTGTGTGTGCGGGAAAATGTTGAGGTAAAAATAAGGGACGTCGTAGATAGGAATAAGGTTGTCTGGTTACGCCATTTTAATTTACGAAACAGTGCGTAATTTGAAAGAAGTGTTACAAGATGTCTAACCACCACTAAGGGAATACTTTCGCGAAAGTTTAACGAGTCGACCGTGGTTATTTATTATATGCTACTTTTAACTAGGTTATTCATTGAATATCTAGTCAATGGTTATTGCAACGTTAACTCAAACTAGCCCACTAACTGAGAAACCTAACCATAAGTCCGAAACTAAATTGTCCATGGTCTAAAACCTAATTCCTGACTTCCCACTCAACACATACTTTAGGCCCACAGCCATTGCGTCTACCGTAATGACTGACTCCTTCCTTACCCAAAAAACCAAACCCTAAGTGCGCAACCTAATCTAGGAAGTGTACTTGAAGAAAACCACACCACCGTACCTTTTTTACTGCAAACTGATTTTTCACGAACATAAACCCGGGACATTCTCAGGTGGAAGTTCTAACAGAATTTGCCAACTACAGCAGTGTTGTCAGGCCTGCCAGTAAAATTAGTAGCAGTATCTGTTAGGATGATCTCATCAAGCCTTAAAGTGGACTTTCTACGTGAGCGAAAGCAAAAACCGGTCAGTTAACCGCTTCGAGAATAGGTAGTGGTATTATAGAAGGTACTATAGAAGGTTGCGTGTTCAGATCACGTCGGAGTCACCAGTTATAAGAGTTAAGGCTAAGACGGTTAACCCTATCAGCAACAATCTTCCAGGCCCGGTTCCTTAGGAGATGGGAAAGTCTTGGGAAGGCCAGAGTAGATAGGATAGTTTATTGTGTACACAAAGGAACGGAGAATAGATGTAGAGAAGTTGG